ATATACCAGAAAAGGAAATCTAAATCAAACCACTGGAGAGTTTAAAGTGTGTCTGACATCTCAAGTGTCTCTGTGGTTTGTAACTTCTCCTGTATCAACAATTCATACTATTTTCCTTCCTCTCTAATGTAAATAAAAACGAAAAAACCTGTTGTGTTTCAGGATACTGATTTATCCACTAGATTCTGCTCTGGAACCTTATTTGGTAAAGAGGCAAGAAGCTACGCTGCACTCAGGAAGGCATAGAGTTCGAGGCCACCAGCTGCTTGCTCCACGTGAAGGAGAAAGAGGCAATCTCCTCCCTAGCTATTGAACTACCTCTGAAAAGCGTCAGAGGGTCAGCTATCATTCGCTTTCTATGGTACACAACAACAACAACACGGTGTTTCAGGATACTGATTTGTCCACTAGATTCTGCTCTGACACCTTATTTGGTAAATCGTTTTCTTTTTAGAATCACAATTACATGGAGTGGAGTGGGAGAGTACAGGGACTGACATTGCAATGTCGTGTAAATTATCTTATTAAAGGGATACTAAAGTGTGCAAAGTCAGGTGATCTTTATCTTTTTGGAAATGGGTGTGTAAGAAATGCAAAACACATCAGAGTGTGTACCTAGGCAAAGAACTGCTTTAAAACAACAACAACAACAACAACAAAACCCATCCTGCTTTTTAAAATTAAAAGTCTTGCCTCTGGCTGCCAGCCAAGTTTTTTCTTAAACTCGCCTTATCTTTTCAACTGCCCTTTACTTTACCTCCTCCTAAGCCCCCTAGGCTCAAAGAACAAAATTGCTCCAAACTTTCTATTTCCTCCAGCCAGGTGGTAAACAAGCAGCTGTGCTTTTGCATCTCAACGCCCTGCTGGTTCCCCTCTGTTCCCTTCCAGGTACAAGAAAAGCCCATCGATCCCGGAATTGATTCGTTACAAGATCGCAGGTTAAGCGGGTGTGGCCTCTTTCTTTGGGGCTGCTCAGGGAGATCTATGGGGGTTGGGCAAGGGGCAGAGAAGGGGAGTGACCGGAGTTAAAACCTCTGCTGGCTGGCAGCGTCTCCCTGAGATTCTGCGATTAAGCTCCAGGACTGTGTGTTCTTGCGTGGAGTCGGGTAACGGAGCGCCACCTCTGGACTGTCACACGCACACAAGCACGCACTCACACACTCGCGCGCACGCCGAGGCTGAGTGACAGCGTAGACCGCGCCTGGGGTTGTTGGGACCTGTCAGAGCACGCTGCAGTCAGGTTCGCCCCAGGTCTGAGGAGCAGTGCGGGCACACACACTCCTCCCCGCTCCCCGCCTCGGTCTTTATTTCAAGCCCTTTTTCAAAACAACACAAAACAAACCAACAAAACAAGTGGGAAGGTAAACCAGTTGCACCCATGGCCCCAGACCTAAGTGACCAGCCCTGACAGCTTCGAGTGGAATTCCGACCCAGTGAGTGGAAGTTTTCACCACTAAAGGATCTATCTAAAGAAAGAGTTTGTTGGCTAAGGGATGTCCCACGCGTCACCTTCGCCTGGGGGCTAAATCTCAGACCAGGACTCCTGTTCCCAAGCATAATTCCTGGGTCAGGAGCCGGGGTGGGCTCTCTGACCCCCAGTGGGCAGGCAGGCGCTCTGAGAGGCTCCACCACTCTCCTGCCATCGGTGGCCCATCTTGTGGGCAAAGAGGCCACCCTTCTGACCACATAAACCACCTCCCCAGGTTAAGAGACCCCAGGCGGAGAGCGTGGAATCTGCAATGGGTGGAGAGGGCCGCCCCAGGGTCCAGCTCACCTCCCATCGAACTCGGCAGCCGTCTGCAGGTAGAGCGAGGAAGCCAGCACCAGCGCCAGGAGGAAATCCATGCTTTGCGGCGGGTCCTGGGGGCAGCGCAGCGGCGCGCGCGGAACAAGTTGAGCGCACAGGGCGCGGGGCTGAGGCGCACTGACCTTACCGGCTCTGCTCTCCCGCGGCGCCTGCGAGCTGCTCGGGAGCCGCCGCCGCGGCCACAGCTGCCACTCGGGGAGGAGAGCGGCGCGGCGCGCAGCCGGAGCAGGTCTGCCGCGAGGCGCCGGGAGCCCCCCTCCGGCTGCCTTCCCGCGAGGGGAGGTGCTGCAGGGGGAGCTGCGCTGCCCGAGGGGAGGGGCGTGGGAGTGGGGGTGCGCGTGCGCCCGGCTCACCGCCCTCCCAGCCCCGGGCCTAAGGTGAGCACGCTCGGCGGGGCGGGAATCTCGGGGTTGGGGCGCTGCGGGAGGGCAACCTCTTTTGGGGACCAGCCAAGCAAGGAGAGCCCCAGGCTAGGAGAAAAGTTGCAGGCTGGGTCCAGGAGATGGAAAGCAGGGCTCTGAGGCCAAAAGTCGTAGAAAGAAGGGGGCCCGGGCTTAGGTGTAGGTTCCGCCTGGAACAGGTGGTGGTGACCACAGGGGCGAGCTGCAGCCTTTTCCAGGGGGCGGAGTAGCCCAAGATGGGAGAGGTGTTTGGGGCAGGAGCTGTGCAGTTCCCGAATTCAGCAAAACCACAGGGCGACTTGGACAAATTAGCAAAACGCAAACTCCCGGGAGTTGCTTCTCCCACAGAATTGGCAAAGGAGTCATTTTTATTTTGTAACCAACCGAAAGAAATTTTTGGCGCTCCTGTCGAGTTCAGAAGAAGAATCGTTCAGACTGTTTCTGTCTCCGCCAGCTCAACCCTGCGCACATTCAAGAGTGGCAGCGGCTGCCCATCGGAGCACGTGCCTGCCAGAGGGGGAGCCTGTTACTGCTTGGCAAGTGCTACTGTGTCTGATGTTACGGAAGAGATCATTTAGACACCATTTTAAGTGATCGTTGCTCTTTTGTTGCGAAGTAAAAAAAAAAAAAAAATCAATATGCAAAAGAACTTCATACTTGAATTCATAAGAAAACGCACAATCATTATCCTGAATGCATGTGAAAGCATGGAACAGATTGATTCACAACTCTCAAACGCTACTTCAAATGGCTTCTTTGCGCTGTGGTCGGCTGTCTTCCCTCCCATTAGGGAGGACCTAATCAATTCCGTCTTGTCCCAGTCCATGGACTCCTCCCACAACCTATCTAGCGTGTTCCATTAATGCCCTTACCTTGAGGCTCTGATCAGTGTGGGTCTAGTTGACTTGAAGGAACCTTACAACAACAAAGGCCCTAATTATTTGCATGACTCACCTCCTTCCTTTTTCAGTCTTTCCTCAAATATCACCTTCCTTACTGAGACCAACTACAAGCACCCCAAATTGCTTGACAGCACACAACAACAATAGCACAAAAATTTGCCCCCTAGCCTGTCTTTCCTTTTTTTAAAAAAAAAAAAATTGTCTAGGTAAAAGTTTGTAAGACCAGTTGGCTTTCCATTCAGCTGTTCATACACATTTTGATTGCTGACAATAACTGCAATCTTCCCAATGAAACCACACTCTTTGGCTTCCCCCCTGTGGTTGCCATTTCTATTCACTTTGTTCCCAGCCCTTCTCGCCTTATCTCTGAGCAAATGCTACCTTTTTATTTCTTATTTTGATTGTTCCAAGAAGTGCACACATTCATGGTGCTATTTTTCCCGTTGTGGTGTGGTGCTGGTGATGCTGTCAAGTAGGAATGGACTCATAGCTCACCCTGGAGTAGGTTTTCAGAGACTGCAAATGGCACAAGAGGAGACTGCCCATCTTTGTCCCTCAGAGCAGCTGGTAGATTCAAACCACATGCCTTTAAGTTGCTAATGCAGCTTCTTACAATTGGGCCACCAGAGTTTCCTTTTCACTTTGTTGTTGATAGGTGTCATTGGGCTGACCCAAAGCAACACTGTTGTGTTGTTGTTGTTAAGTGCCGTCGATTCGCAAGCGACTCATAGCAACCCCGTATGAAGGAGAGTCCTTAACGTTTGGGTTCCTTTCATCCTCTCTCCAGGTTCATAGGGTTTCCGGAGGCAAACTATTACGGAAGTGGATGCCACTGCTCCTTCCAAGCTTGTTTTAATCGGGGAGCTTCATCCCATTCTCTCTCCGCATGGGGTAACCAGCCATTAACACATTTGACACATCAGTGTCACAGTGTTTAGCCTCATAGCAACCACAAGTGACGCTGTACGGCAACTTGTACACCAGGGCTATACACCTAGAGGAATGTATGAACAAAAACAATGAAAGACAGGCAACACTAGGAACAATTCTGACCCTTGTCCTTAGACACTTATTATTTGATTGAATGTTGAGACACAGGGTGACTTACAAGGTTAAATGATTTCTTAGGTATCTAGTGCTGCTATGGGTCTGGAGATGTAGCTCACCTGTAGAGCACAGTGGCTCATGTGCCCCAGCTTTCTGGTTTGTGGTCCATTACCGCTACCAAGCAGTGCTTCTATAATAGAAATATCAAATGTGAGTAGCTTTAACAACAACAACAACAAAAATTATTCTTTACAATTTTACCCACTGAATTTGTGTGGTGATGGTGTTGTTGATTGCCTTTGAGTCAAGCACAACTCATAGCAAACCCATGAACAAAAGGCCTGAAGCCCCTCTGCAACTATCAACATTTACCAAAGTTCATAGATTTTCCAAAGGCATGTTATTTAGAAGTGGATGCCACTCCTGCTTCCAAACCTGTCATAGTATGTTATTGTTGTTATGTGCCATTGAGTCGTCTGCGATGTGTAATGACCCTACGTACAGCTGCTCTGAACCCTTCCCTGTCCTGAGCCAGTCTCGCTAATTCTGACACACCAACTCCCATTTGCCCCAGTCACTGTATCAATACATCTCATCTAGGGTCTCCCTCTCCTGCACTGTCCCTACCCCTTCCAAGCATGATGTCCTTCTCCAAAGACCAATCTCTCCTAGCCACGTCCCTAAATTAAGTGAGGTGGAGCTTCAAAATCCTAGCCTCCAAGGAGAGACTTGGTTTCACCCTCTCCAACACAAACTGATTTGTTTTCTTGGCTGTCCATGGTATGTTCAGGGACCTGACTCTTTGAGAAGGCTTTCTTTCTGTGTATCTCCTACTTCTGGGGAGTTTCCAAGCACAGGAACCTAGGTACAAAGGATGAACTCTTTCCTGACTCTTCTTTTTTTGCTGTATAAAGGTTTCTACCCCTCTGCTCAATTCTTTCTCTGTTGCCTCTTGTAAGACATTATAGGATGCAGACCCAAGAAAAGAAGTTCCCCAAGAAAACTCTTCTAACCTCACTTCAAGGCTGTGACCTAATAACATCCCATCCTAATCCCTTTCAATTGATTGACTGATCATATATCAGATTACATTTCAGGGTTGATTACATAATTGCCTCAACTCTTGCCTTGTTAGCATAGAATCATGACAGTCATGTTGACACATATTTCAGAAGAACCTAGTTCAATCCATGACAAAGAGTAACTAAGGGCCATTGTCTTGGGCCTACACCAGTCTCTATCAGATCAGTAAGCCTGGTCTTTTCGAAGTTATTTTGAGTTTATTCCATGTTTTTGCCCACTCTACCCATTTCCTGTTATGATCTCTTTCAGAGTGGCCAGCCATGGTAGCCAAACACTATCTAGCTCTTCAGGACGCAGGGTCATTAAGGCAGAGGCTCCCATGCTCCACTAGTTCTTTGGATATTCTTTCCATTGCCTGTTGATTTCCTTCACTCTCCTTTGTTCTGGATGAGAGAGACCAATATTTGAACCAGAGATGGCTACTTGACATATAATTTGTATGTTTCTTTTAAACTTTTGCTTTTTTAAAGTTGTGATTTGAATGAAATTTTCCAAAGTAAATTAATTTTGTATTCAATCATGCATATATATTATGTTTTATAATAACCTTAATTCCAGTTGTTGTTGTTAGGTGCTGTCAAGTTGAGTATGACTCATAACCACCCTATGAACAACAGATCTGAACCCTGTTCTATATCCTGTGCCGTCTTCACACTACCTGACACGCTAAAGCCCATTGTGGCAGTCACCATGTCAATCCTGGAGAGTCTACCTCTCCTTTGCTGACCGTCCACCCATCCAAGCATCATGTCCCTTTCCAAAAAAATAACCCCTCCTAGCAACATGCCCAAAGTAAGTGATGTGACGCCTCATCATTCTTTCCTCGAATGAGCACTATGACTGCATCTCTCCAAGACATATTTGTTCTTTTGGCATTCCATGGGATGTTCAGTGCTCTACTCCAACACCACAGCTCAAAGGAATCAATTAATTCTCTCTCATCCTTATTCATTTTCCAGTTCCCCAATGCATATCAAGTGACTGGAAAAACCATGGCATGAATCAGATGCACCTCAGTCCTCAAACTGACATCATTACTCCTCAATAATTTGGAGACGCCTCTAACTGCAGATTTTCCCTGTGCAATGTGTCTCCTTATTTCCTGATGGCTAATACCAAGGGTGTTAATTGTGGATCCAAGCAAGATGAGGTTGTTGAAAGTTCCAGTCTCTTCTCCATCTAGCATGATGTTGCTCATCAGTTCAGTGGTAAGAACCGTTGTTTTCTTGACATTGAGATGCATTCCATACTGAAAGCTGCATTCCTTGATCATGAACCAAAATGGATGTCAGGAGAGATTCTGAAAATTGCACTGGAGCATCAAGATGCCAAAACAAAGGGAAAACGTACTGAAGTAAAAGAGCTAGACAGAAGATTTCAAAGGGCAGTTCAAGAGGATAAAGAGAAGTATTCTTTTTTTTAAATATTTATTTTATTGGGAAAAACATATTGGGGGTACAAGGAGGTGAGGGTTGGGGGCAGAAGGGTGAGGATGGGCCAGGATGCAGTTGCAGAGCT